CGACACCAAACAAGAAAAAACCCAAAAAAAAAAAAAAAAAAAAAAAAAAAGCAAGCGCGACAGACAGAACGAACAGCAGGCCGTGCCTGGCCTTCTCCCGAAGCCGGACGCTCGGGGCCCAGCCCGCAGATGCATGGAGATGGCAGCCATGAGACCGACTGCGTGCTCTGCAGGCCCCGCACCCCTGCTGCTCCGCAAGCCCTCCCAGGGTCCCTCTTGCGATGACGCGCCTGTGACCCTAGACACTGGCTGTGGCCAAGCACCGCACGGTTAGCAGCGCCCACCCCATCCCCACTGCACTGAAGGGGAGACGGAGGCCCAGCAGGCCGAGCGCGTGGGTGACGGGTCCCGCGCCCACTGGGCTGGCCCCGGAGCTGGGACTCACACATCTCCCTCCGTTCTTCCGGGGGTCCACGAGGCCCCCTGCAGCGCTGACCGTACAGTCCGGTCTCGGGGGAGCTCTGGGGTGCAGTAGGCCCAGAGGACCTTCAGGAATGGACGTGCGGAGGGCGCGGCCCTGCGCGGAGGCGCCCTCCGCCACTCACCTCCTCGTCCTTGTACCAGGACAGCGACTCGGCGGTGAGCACGAACCAGTACTCCTTGGAGCCGCCCTTCATCAGGCTGATGTTGTTGATGGTCAGCCAGCCTCTGCGGATGACCTGCGGGGAGGCCAGGGCTCAGAGGGGGCCGCCCCCTGCCGCGCCCCCCAGCCCCGCACCCCCCGGCAAGGCGGACAGACAGGGACCGCGGCAGAGACACCTCCAGCCCAAAGCCAGGACCCCCAGCTCCACCTCGCCCCAAGCAAGTCCCGCCGAAACCAACGTGGGGTGCCCGGGTGGGTGGGCTGACAGGTGCCGGCTCACTGGCTGACGTGGGGACAGGGTGGCCCCAGGAGCCCCGCCGTGCTCAGCGTGTGATGCCGTGAACAGGGGAGGCTACACGGCTGCCCGGTGCACAGGAGCCCAGAGGAGGGGGTTGGGCTTGTCGGAGACAGAGGTGGCAAGTGGAAGGCGACCCGTGCACCTGACGCAGAGGCGAGGGGGACGGGGGTGCTGGGGACGCCTGCCCCTGTGACGTCGTGAGGGAGGCTGGACAAGCCGCCCGTGCCATGAAGACAGTCCTTATTTTTGGGGTGCCAACAAGCGCCTTAAACCAGGAGGGTGGGGATACAATTCTGAACTCTGGGGACCTCTCTAAAGGGTCGCCGGGGGTGGGAATCACGCCGAGGGTGGGCTTCAAGCCCAGCGGTCACGCTTTTCTGATGGATGTCAAGAGCTCTGGGCTAGCGGGCTTGTCTGGCCACAGCTGCCCTCTGAGCTGACCCGGGGACTCCCCTGTCAGCTACGCACACCGGCAGCCTGGGGGCCACGCTCCCATCAGTCAGGACTGGGGACCCCGGGGCAGCAGGAAGCGTGTGGGGGCATGGGCAGGGCCGCCGGGGGCCGAGGCGGCAGCAGCAGACGCGCCAAGCTGCAGAGGGTGGGCGGAGCCACGAGGCTGGGGGGGCTGGTGCTGAGCCCCGGGATCCTCTGGGGCCCACAGGTCTTCCTAGTCGGCAGTTCTCGGGAGGCCTTGCCCTGCACACTGACCTGCCCCCATGCATGCTGTCGACCTGACAGGGCCACCAGCCCCCAGAGGCCATGAAGGCAGAGGTGGCTTCCAGGGACCAGCACCCCAGGCCGAGCTGGGATGAGACACCACCTGGCATGCCCCATTCAAGCCAGGTCTCAGGACCTACATGGCCGTCGGAGCAGGCAGGGACCTCTGGCACCCTCGGGCTGCTGGGCGGGGTGGGTTGCTAGGGGGCCCAGGCTGGCAGCCCTGATGAGGTCAGAGCATCATTGCTGGTGACTGGGCGAGTGCCTCACCCCGGTTTGCAGAGGCTGTTCCGGGGTTAGCATGGAAGACCCAAGGCTCTGGGAACGTCCTCCATCCCAGGCAAACGGGGCTGGATGGTCAGGCCCTGGCCAGACTGGTCTCCAGACTGGGGCCTGGGACAGAGCTGCGAGGGTCCCGGGGAGGAACCCTGAGCTGGCAGCTGCACCCGTCCGCGCTCAGCAAGTTTCTAGGTCCACGTTCTGCTTATTCTTTGGGGGCCCAGACAGAGGTTCACAGAGGTTGGGGCAGGCGGCTAGGCCCTGGTGCTGCTTCTGGGGAATGGCCCAGGGCCACACCGGGGATGGCCCACACCCCACCTGCCCTTCCTCTTGAGCCACCCAGAGAGCTGTGTGCCCGCAGGCCCAGGTGGGACGGGGACAAAATCCCGCTCCAGGGAGCTCCAAGCTGCAGACACAGGCCCAGGCCTGAGTCCAGAGAAACGGGAGGGGCCAGGCCTCCTCATCCCAGAGCTGGTGCGTGGCCTCAGACCCCATCCCAAGGGGCCTGGGCTCAGCTGGAGGTGGGGGTGAGGTGCGGAGGAGCCAGAAGAGGCACGCAGCGCCCGGGGTGCACAGCGACAGGCAGGCGGGCGGGGACAGGAGGAAGGCGGGGTGCAGGGCGGCAGCAGGAAATGGCAGAGCTGGGTCCGTGGGCAGTCCGGGTGGCCTCCCTAGACGGAGGTGACCCTGGAGCCACGGCCAGGCATGTGGCTGGGCTGTGCAGTCTGGCAGGAAAATCTCACTAAACCCGTGGGTGGGGGAGCGGCAGTCCACTGGCCTGGCCTGTTTTGGGGAGATGACTGTCGAGCTCAAGGCCGATTCTTGTCATTGCCCCCGCCCATCCAGGCAGCTCCGGGACCTGGCACAGCGAGGCCCGGCTCAGCACAGGCTCAAGGTGGCCAGAAGATCTCCGCCAGAGGGCAGGAGTGGGGTCTGCCCCGCTGCCGTGGTGCCTGGCAGGGGAGAAGACCCTGCAGAAGGGGGCCTCTGTGAGCTCTACGCTCTCCACGGCAGAAAGCTGGAGCCGAGACCGGCTGCCCGGGTGAGCACCCTGAAACAGGTGTAGCCCTCGGGTATGAGCTGTGTTTGCACCCCACTGGGCTGGGTGAACCTCACGCCCTCCTCATGCCCCAGGCTGGCCCAGCTGAGGGCTCCCCGCAAGGAGAGGCAGGGTTACCTACAGCAGGGATGGCAAATACGATCCATCTTTGGGGATGGGGGCACGTCAACGATCGCCTGGAGCTGCCTGGAGTGCCACATGAGCATTCCGGGAAAGGCGAGAAACTCCACTAGGATTAGTGATGTCTGTCACTGGCAAAGGGTAAGGGGAGGGGGCGACTGGAGGCAGGAGAATAGTGGAGGCATCCAGGAAAGAGATCCCTGATCGATTAGTCATGCCTGCCATAGGTACAGGAGTGGGTGTAATAACACATGGCGGGAAACATACCTTGATCGTTAGGTTAGTCACATCTGCCACAGATTGGGGAGTGCTGGCGTCTTATTGGAAAAGAATGCCAGGATTGATTAGCAATGTCTGTCAAAGGCAGGTGGTGATGGAGGAGAGCCATCAGAGAAAGTGTGCAGGATCAATTAGCCATGTCTGCCACAGGCACAGGAGGGGAAGATTTTATGCTCTTTTCACTGAGTGAACTCTGCACTAGAGACAGGAGGAGCAGCAGCAGGGGCAAGAACGAATTCCGGGAGGGCTTGAGCAGAATTTTCCACAGTCGGGGGGATGCGATAGGGGAGGCAGGGACAGTGAGTAAACCAAGTATTTGCCATCCCTGGTCTACATGACATCGAGGGAACCTGCCTGGAATCGGCTGGAGGGCTTGGCCTCCGACAAGGGAGGCCGTCAGGTTAGTGTCTATGTGAGTCCACATACACCCAGGGCAACAGGAAGTCCAGCGTCGGCTGCAGCGTGGGGTTTTCCAGGTTAGTTCAATTTTTAGTGTTTGGTTTTGTTTTTTGCTATTATTTTGTGGGAGCAGGGATGTTACGGGGTGGGCGGGACCTCCATCACGACTAGACTCTCTAGAACGCTCGCTACCACACTAAGCAGGTACTTACCAAGATCTCCCCCTTTGAAAATACAAAGTTAGAGTGGTGGGCAAATCGAGGAAGAATGGGCAAAGAAAAGAGACGAGAGGGACGTGAGGGGACGGAGAGAAAGCAGGAAAAAGCACAAAAACAGGAGGAGAGAAGAGCAGGGGAGAAAAAGAGCAAAAGAAAAAAAAAATGACATGCTATTAATTATATTCATGGTGTTAATTATTTAATTCATTATCATCTCCCGAAACGAAAAAGCAACAACATACATATTACCGAGGGCAAGCGCAAAAAAAGAACAAAAACAAATCATGCAGGTTATGATCTCATTTCTGATGGGCCCTAGCATCGTGCAAGACTGAGAGCAGATCCCCCACCCCCCCCCCCGCCCGATGTGGAGACGAGGAGGGGGACATTGGCAGAAATTCGGGAAAGATCATTTGTGTTTGTTTT